CCCAGGCACAAAGGCCGGGAGGCTGCAGAGGCAAAGCCCCAAGATCAGGACTGCAACTGCGCGTGCTGCCTTGGCCATGACTCAAGAGTTCGTGCAACGGCTTGCCGAGACGTGTCTGACCTCATGCTGAGACTGCCAAAACTCGTCCCAAATCTGCGGGCACATCACATCGCCTTGAGAAGTTGTCTCCAAAGCAGACGAGATAGCCATCTGCACGCACTGCGCAAGTATGCAGTTCGGCTGCTGAGACTGCCGAAACTGGTCCCAAATCTGCCGGCACCTCACATTGCCCTTTGCTGTTGTCTCCAAAGCAGACGAGATAGCCATCTGCACGCACTGCACAAGTATGATAAAAGCCTGCTGAGACTGCCAAGACTTGTCCCAAATCTGTGGGCACGTCACATTGCCCATAACGGTTGTCCCCAAAGCAGACGAGCCGACCTTCTGACAGCAATGCACAAGTGTGCCCTGTGCCCGAGAGTTTGCGGCCCGCTGAAACTGCAAGAACTCGCCCCATCTCTGCTGGCACATCATGCTGCCCGTGCTTTCTGAAACCAAAGCAGGCTGACAAGCTATTCTTCCTCACTATACACTTGCTGGAAACTTGAACACTTCCGGCACGTGGTGAGAATGCGTGGGAAGTCCGAGTCCGCCTGTGCATATGGCTGGACAAGCACCTCACACGCTGAAGCCTAGGCCGCACGAAACGTGACTGACCCAGCGCGGAAACGCACCATGAGCCAGGACGTATTGCAAGAAACGACTGGAATGCAGTCCTTTGCGTCCAGAAGAGTGTGGCAAGCATGCAAACCTTCATGGCCATTGCGAGATGGATATAAGAAGCAATGTCCCAGGAGGTTTCGGCTGAAGCTGAAAGACGGGAATCTAGACAAGTAGTTCATGCTATGCTACTAGTATCGTTCTAGTCCTCACGACCTGAGTCAGAAACCTTACTCCTACCATAGACAAACTTTTACAATAGACCATTTCCTTTTTTTTCTATGGGGGTATGGGTGGTTCCATGGTATGGGTTTCATCATGTGGGTCTTGTGTTGGGGCTTTGGCTTGGGGATTGAGGGTTACAATGGTGATTTTTCAAGATGGTTTTCTTGGGTTGGGGCTTGGGGTTGG